TTTCCCAGAAACGCCTTCAGGTGGAGCTGCCTTTCTAACACGAGGCTATTGTCAGTGTCCTGTGAAAGGCTGTCTTCACCGGTCAATTCAAAACAAAAAACCTTTATCGCTCCGAGTCCACGAACGAGAAGCATCCGGAGGGGTTGGAACTGCCTGGCGCGATGAACTGCGGTATGTTCAGCCCCATTCTGTGTATCAATCTCTGATTTTCTTCTCAGGTTTATGCGGTGCTCACCGCATTTTGTGCAACGGGACGCAAGTGCCTACGAGGACGTCTATTGCAACCACATGCGCACCTTGGCCGATATTCATGCTAGCTCACCCAAAGCTCTCCATTTTGTCCTCCATGATGCTTACAAGTCTAAAAGCGAGACAACCGCAGTAACAATGAATGCCGCTGGCAGCTCCGCTGTTCTCATCAACTTGGTGGACAACCCCGACTCCGATTAGATTCTTTACTCCCTCGCCGGTATTATTTCTGGCTTCTACAGTACTCACTTGGGAAAACATTGCCTGGTGATAATCTTTTCATTACCTGGTTTTAAATCATCCTTCTGATTGTCAAAGTTTACATGGTGTCCCTTGTAGTTTAGTGTACCTACCTATGAATTCAATCCCAGTTTCTGCCCCGACATTTTTTGGTGTGAAACAGAGTAACGCAAAACAAAGAAAACCTGTCCAGTGTGGCGGAAAGTTCACGTAGATTGGGTCGGATGCGGCGCAAATGTAAGGAAAGTTTGGGTCAGTTTCCCCTAATTTATTTTGAGGTTCCAAAGAAAGGAAATCAACCTAAGGCGAAAAATTCCGTCGGATTACCCCAAGATTTGGGGTAATCGGACCGAATTCCCAAAGGAGGTGTTTCCTGATGTCTCAGTTCCTGTCAAACAAAGGAAAAGAAAAGAAAGCAGCTGCAGAAACTGCAAGCATACTATAAGATGTAGGTAGAAGGAAAGAGAGACAAGCTAGATACCTGCAAGCATGCTATGAGATGTAGGTAAAAGGAAAGAGAGACAAAGAAATGTTCGCGCGCGACGCGACATGTCAATCAAAAGATCGTGGGAATGTTCCTCCTCTTGCATAGATGTTCTCAACCGCTTCTACTTTGCTCTCACTTCCCCGACGTTCGTTTTCTCCTCTTCTCTCTCCCCTGCTCTCCGATTCACACCTGGTCTCCTAGTCTCATGATCAACTGACTTCCAAGATTAATTCTCTGTCTCTCGCTCTCTCTCCGAGATTAATTATTTCTCCTCCAGGCTCCTCTCTCGTCAACTGGTCTCCGTCCCTCTCTCTCATGATCAACTGGTCTCCATTTCTCTCTCCTACTTCCCGCGATTGCCTGTCTTTGTCACTGCTCCGAGGTCCTCTCTCATGGTCACCTGCTCGGCTTCAGGCTGCGGCTTACCGCGGGTATGAAGTTACTTCATACCCGCGGTGAACCCCATATTCTGCACTCGCCCGCGCATGGGCAGTTCCGGCACCCCGGCTGTTTCTTTGACGATGATGCAGGATGCACGGTCACATGTAATATATTCAGCTGCCTATTCTGATTCGACTCCACTGGAGTTTGAGCACTGGCCGCACTGCCACAATATTATGACAGCTCGGGAGTGACAGTGCTGGTCATGACGTTTCAAATTCAACCGGCACTTATATCTCAGGTGAACCTGTCGATTAATATTAAGAACGAATAATGCGTACAGGTCACCGATGCCATCCAGGGAATTGAAGATGACCCATTCCGCCCCAAGAGTGTTACATTAGAATTTACGGCTCAAGCTCTGAACAGTGTTGCGGCTAAAGGCTTTATAAAGGGTAGGATTTGTTTTAAAGGCTTTATACCTTTATTACGCCTTTATAAAGGGGGCTTTAAAACACCTTTACATCAAATTTCCGAATGCGAACAGAGTGCTTTTGGCTTACGTGTGAGCGAAGGTTGAATTGCACACACCTGAATAGGGTGTTTCATAATTAAAAATCCAACCCTAACTTGTGCCGCAACTTGTGCCGCAACTTGCCAGAAGTTGAGGCAGAAGTCGGGGCATGAAATCGGAGTTGGGACTGAAATCATGCGTTGCAGTACGACTTGACGTCCAACTTTTGCCCCAACTCCGTGCCCCAACTTCGGCTAATCTGTCATTTGGGCCTCGATCACGCCGCTCCGGATACACATCTCTGCCTCAACTCCGGAGTTGAGGCAGGGTTGCTGGCTCAGGTGTTTCACGAACGAACCTCCAACTTGTGCCTCAACTTGGGGCAAGTTGAGGCAGAGTTGAGGCAGAAATTGGGGCACAAGTTGGGGTCAGATTTCTGATTATGAAACACCCGAATACTTTGAAAGCTGTGCTATTCTGGTGCTCTCCTCGATGGAAAAAGGTCCAGAGCCCCAGTGGCATGCTAGTATGAGGGGACACTTACGTGGATAGCAGCTCAAACGCGGAGGATGAGAAAATCAAAATTTGATTGAAGGGCACGTGAGTATTTTAGGCCTTTAAAACGGTCGGCGGGGTCCTAAAGCCTTTATCGTAAGGGGTTATCAAGCCCTACCCTTCATAAAGCCTTTACCCTTACAGCCAACGACAGTACCGAAGGCGCGGATCAGTTTTTTTCTATTTTGAGAGCCTTTCGAAGAATTACCCATTGCTCACTCAGTTCTTGACCATTTGACTTGTAAATATGCTAGAAATGGCAGGCTAATTCATGTGCAATTAGTTATAGAGCTCAATCTACGAAAATATTGTATCTTGGGTGACCGGGTAAATCGGGCTTGATGCTTGGCGGTGAATTTCCCTCAGTCATGTCAGATTGCATTCAGTGAGGGCGACATTTTCAATGAGAAGCATTAGATCTGTCTTGCAATGGATTCTACATACACAGGACTTTGCATTTATCACCTGACAGCCTCAAAATTGAACCGTGGGAATCCTACTGGTGACGATGTTGAAATTTATATGTTGGCCAGACTATTGCATCAGATTAGAGACATTGAACATGAGAGGATTTCCAATTTCCCAGTAAACTCAGCTATGTACCTACTTTCAGTAGGTACTAGGGATAATAGAGGCTGGGAATCACGTCGCCTCCCGTCGGTCTGAGTTAATAACCAGCATTCTGGGATACATGGTGTCTAGTCTGTCATAGACATTTCAACATGTTGAGCATACGGCATTGGCGATGCGGATTGAACAACCTTGTCAATCTCAATATTCTCGCCACGTGGTTCAATTTCGGACTGGTGGATGATGTACCTGCTCTTGTTTTGTCTATGGAACCTATCACAACATTTGTAAAATCCCCCTGCCTAGAGGCAAACCAGATCCAATGTGAACTGACACCGGATTCAACGTTGTGATGCGGACTGCGGTTCTGTGAACTGCCTGACCCGGGGTGGGTATAGTCAAGTAGTGTTTACAGAATTTAATTCGTCCTCTAGGAGGAAATTACTCTGTCGCGGAGCTGCGTAGTTTAAGGCACGCTAATGCGTGTTATGTAAATTGTAGTGTGTGTGTGTGTACAGTTCTCTCCATTTGGATTGAACGCTTTGCCAGGTTCCTCGAAGATTTGGTTCTTCGTTGGGGGCTGGCCTTCCGAAGGTACTGCGGATGGATAGTTTTCTACACTTGCTCGAAGGGTTCGCTCCGCAATGCGAATGCTGTTCCGTTCTGGAGTACTCGGGTTATCTGTTATGCTTATCCACCCGTCTCGAACGTATCGGACGGCAGGTCTTTTCAGCACAGTGTGACACTATACGGACGGCTATAGCGATTCCCTTCGTAGCCTGGTTTCTCCGTTGGTGAACGCCTTGAAATGGAATCGCTTCCGTTTCGAAGACTCGGGGGTGAAGTGTGCAAATTGAATGGGGGAAATAGTATGATCGTGTAGGATAGGCCTTCCGTGTACGATGGGGTGGGTTCCTCGCAAGGATATGCGTACGAACTCCGAAAAGGAACGGTTGCACAAAGCCAAGTTAGGCGACTGGCCGTTTGGTGGTGTGCCGCGTAATTTACTACCGCGCGCTTTCAACTCCGGATTGACTATATTTCCCCCGTGTCGGTTAATCGGAATGGAGGTGAGACGGACGGGGTTTCTTGACAAGCCCTGGCCTTCTAGGTGACCTTGGTTTGTCCTACTATTGGGCGGCACGACCCGTAGCGGAGTGTATTTAATTTAGTTCCCCACCCTGGTGTACTTCAGGGGGAGCAGCTTTAGGTATATGCAGTGGGAGGTAATAAGATGATCATTCCGTATCCTACAGCTGGCTTGTATACCGTACTCTGTCCGATACTCGTGCGCGTACTTATACCTTTAATTGGAAACGGATGTTCCACCTTTTCAGTTCTGACTCGCCTCTGTGATCGCCCACGCGTTCCCGATTCCAAAGGGGTTAGAAAATGACTCAGAGCAGCCTCGTGTCGCCTCCGTTTCCTGTTTCAGTCACCCCGTTTCCCAAGAACCACCTCAGTTCTCCGTTTAGTCGCCCCGTTTCCCATACCGCAACCACTCCATCTCTGTTTGCTCCCCCATTTCCTTCTCCCTAGTACCGGCCAGGTGGCGCAACGGTAGCGTGCGCGCCCTTCGTATACGTTGACGAATGTATGCTCGCGAGGTCTTTGTTCGATTCGAAGTCTGGCCATGATACACCATCAAGACTTTTGCCTCCGTTTTGTCTTTTTGAGTGAATGCATGTCGAGTTTTTGAGTGAACGCTCATTGAACAGCCAGGTAGCACATGCGAGAATCAATATTTTTCCTCCACGCTTGCTTGTGGGTCAAACGGAGTCTGTTGTTCATTTAATTCAAATCAGGTTCGTCTCTTTGTCCGTTTGTTGAGTCCTAATCACGGCCGGGTGGCGGAATGGTAACGCATGCGAGACGAATACAGACACTGCAGTGTTTACTCGCAAGGTCTCCGTTCGATTCGGAGTCTGGCTGTCCTTTTTAATCCAGTGATCAAAGTCTGTCTCGTTCTTTTGTCCGTTTGTCGAAGCTCTTCGTCCTAATCACGGCCAGGTGGCGGAATGGCAACGCATGCGAGACAAATAATAGAGCCTGTAACATTTCCTCGCAAGGTCTCCGTTCAATTCGGGGTCTGGCCTTTTTCCTCGGAGTCGTGATCTTGTCATATTCTTGGATACGGAGTCGCCGTCGTGAAAGTATGATTTTCCTCCCGTTTCGCCGCGTTCGGAGCGCATCACAAAGTGACAGCTCACAACGTGAACTGACACAACTGGGGCAAATTCACCGCCAACCCTCAAGGCTGATTTATCCGGTCACCCAATACAATATTTTCGTAGACCGAACTCTATGACTAATTGCACATGAATTAGCCTGCAATTTGTAGCGTACTTACAAGTCGAACGGTCAAGAACTGAGTGAGCAATGGGTAATTCTTCGAAAAGCTCTCAAAATAGAAAAAAGAATTGATCCGCGCCTTCGGTACTGTCGTTGGCTGTAACTGCAACACTGCAAGCTCAAGACGTCACGTACTTACCTAGGTCCAAAACCCACCATTTGATATTTCGATGGAAGGCATCATCCTCAACCGGGACCAACGAGAAGCGGCCCACTCGCCTGATCGGGAAGAGCGGCACTCCAAATCAAGGGTGGCACATGTGCCGCATACGCGGCACTTCACAGGATTAACAACGGCTCAAGTGCCGCTCTTGCTTTATCCAAGTGCCGCTGATGGAGAAAGAGCACATGGAACACGCGTGAAAGAGGAGGAGATTGGATTAAGACTACGTAGATGAATATGTTACAGCCAAGGACGGAACTGAAGGCGCGGTCGAAAATTTCTTGTTTTGGGATGTTTTCAAAGAATTGTTAATAGTTCAACCAGTTCTGCACCGATTTGGATGAAACCTAGGTAGTTCTGTCGGGCTAATTCATGCGCAATTGGTGACAGAAAACGATTCAGGAAAATATTATATATTAGGTAATCTGTGCTTTTGGACCATTTTCGTATCAAATACCATCTTGCATGTCCAGGACATGTCCCAATGACCTGATATTTTGGGATGGACAACATATATACCTAAAGGAACACTCAACGGGCCGTAAAAAGACGGCCGTGCCCGCCACGGTAACGGGTGGCAGCCCTAACGGTTAGGAATATCACACACATATCTCCTCGCCGCTGGTGTAAGTAAACATGCTCAAGAGCACCAACCGGTCCGTGAGAACACCGAAACCAGCTTCATCAACCAGGTGGGATTCCGTGGGAATAAAGTGAGACTGGCCGTGGCTTGTTCCCTCAGTACTCAAAGAGGTTGGAAGAGACCCACTATTTGCTGTGCCTCAGCCATTCGTGCTGTGGTGAGAGAGGAGTTTCTTTCTTTGCCTTCAAGTCTAATTCTGGGTACATAAGGTAGCGGACAGGCAAACTCGGTTACCCTACGTGCCGTGACCGTAACTCTCCTTTTTGGGACGAGCGGTGTTCGACCGCATTTCTTCACCACTTTTCGCAACTTTTCCAAAAATTGGCCTCAATAAAGTTGTGTGTATGTATCTCAGGTGTAACTGTGAGTTCCTTTGAGAGTCTTGGTATGGGAGTAATAGTGTCTCATAATTCATACCAGGTTTCGAAAAGAAATACACCGGTGTAGGGGAAAACAACACCGGTTGGAATGACCTCAGAAAAAGGACAGAGCCCCAGCCAGACAAAAACTTCACTGCTGATGCTCTGTACATGATATTCACAGGTTCTGATGCTTTCTTTTTCTCTTTTACACCGCCCCTCATTTCCAGTGTCAATGTATTTCAGACTTCGGCCCAGAGGACTACCGTATTAATACATGTTCACCGGGGTGTCTGGTGACTCTTGTTGTGAGCCTTTCTGGTCGTCGGCAAAGTTCAAGTGATGCAATCAATTCAACCATCGGCTCACACCGACAGAGAACATGATGGCAATGTGACCTCTATTGCCCGAACCGAGTTGGTGTCTTGCGAGGCAAAAACACCGACTCGCCTTGGCCCGGCACGGAATCCTTGAGCGGCCTGATCTCCGCTATCTTACCAAGCACTTGGGGTTGCTAAATAGCAGAAAAACAGTGGGTTGCTGAATAGTAGCAACCCAGGTTGATGCCAGCAGCAGGGTGGCTGAATAGAATTAGAATTAGCGGACATTTGTATCAACCTTCTTGACTCTTGACCACAATCTGGGCCTGGCGCAGAGTGGCTGGTACCAAGGTTTCGAAATGTTATTTCTACAACTGTTTTGCTCATCCTTACCATCTTTCCACGTTGAATCGATGAGCCCATGTTCCTACTTATAAACCTCTATTCCTCAACAGAACTGAACATGAGGTGGTGACAAACCTCTCCTGAACGAGGGTGTGAAATTTAAATTTGAGACTGCGACGGTGGTGAAAATTTTCCTACCCGGGAAGGTGTGTGTTCATTGTGTCGCTCTTTCTCCCCAATCCAAGGGTGTGCACATTCTTTGGTAACAGCAGGCGGTAGTGTGTTTTTTGAGACAAATGTGTGAAATTATTCTAACCTGTGTGACAAATAATTATGAGACAGTATTACAGCCATATCTGGGCGCAAAATTGAAGGACTAGTTCCAATTTCTTCTACAAAATGGTACTTTCTGTCAAGATTCTGCTCCAGACTTGAGTTCATTAGTGGTGACGGGCAAGCGCCACCAAACTGATGTCTGTTTGTTCCGTATTTGTTCGCACTTAGTCCTGGCTACAGCCTTCCATAGTGCCTCTACAAGCTCAAACTAAAATTGCTTCTGAGACGTAGTCTAGAGTTTACCGCGCCCCTGATCAAGGGTACCCCGCACTATTACGTAAAGTGCGGAGTTTGAAATACCCCTCTCACCATCCGTACCTGCAACACCTCAATACCTCAAAGCTAAGAGGTCAATCCTTCGGTAATCCTATGCCCTCATGATCTGCATCCTCAGAATATCTCGTGAACTAGACTATGTATAGATGAGAAAGCTGAACTTGGTCAGCGGCAAGCCATCAAAATCCGGCATCGCGTTCCTTGGCTCAGGCCGAAAATCACAAGAGAAGAAGTAATTGGACCTCGGTTGGTGAGTATGAATCAACCATAAAACGCGTGGAATACACGTCCTGGAGTGCAACTTGACATCCGGGATTTTGATAAGGCGGGGTACCAATCGGTGATGCCGGGTAACTGACAGACTACAACATAACGAGGTACGAGTTTTTGTATGTTGTAGCGTCTGTTTAGAAGAGACTATCTGAGACGTACCCTCAGGATATGTCCCGGGCAGATTTTTCCATTTTGCCCCCAAAAGAGTGTTATAAGATGTTCGAGTTGGCAGTGATTTAATGGTAAAGATCTGAAATAAATTGGCAGGGGATGAAGGAGGGGGAAAATGAAAAATCGACGCGGGACATATCCTGTAAATGCTAATTATGAACAAATCTTACACCAACAGTTTGTTGAAAGGGTGAGTGGTTGGAGCGCTACAATGGACCAAAGAAGCTGGACATTTGATTCCAGCCACTTGCCCGTCACCATCAGAGTTGTTGGCTATAGCTCAGTTTATTCCAAATACATGCTCTAGATTTGAACTGGCTGCACTTTGGGAGGTTCAGCTTGAATTCTTCTTGGTGCTCAGCATAGCACAACAGATTGGACGACCCACAGGGGTACCTAGGTGCCAGAGATGGATGGAAACATTATTACTTTCATCCCCAGGCCTCCCAGGGAGCTGAAAGCATGTATAGCTGTGCAAGGTGTAAAGCAAACACTGGTTTGGACCGCTTTTGTAGAAGAAATTGGAACTAGTCCTTCAATTTGCGCCAAGACTCTCAAAGGAATTCACAGTTACACCTGAGATACATACACACAACTTTATTGAGGCCAATTTTTGGAAAAGTTGCGAAAAGCGGTGAAGAAACGCGGTCGAACACCGCTCGTCCCAAAAAGGAGTGTTATGGCCGAAGAGGCACCGGGGTATGTTAAAAATGGCAAAGAAACACGGGGTCGAATTTGACACCCCAAACCCATCGTACAAGATTCAAGGCGATCTCCCGCTCTGGCATCATGCCGGAGAGGATCCGAGTAAAATCCAGTATCACAACACTGCGGCAGCGAACTGCCTTAGGCAAAACCACGGTGTACTCCTTGTCCACGAGGGCATGGAAGTTCTCCGACGCCTCGAAGATCAAGCCCACAAGACATCAAGTCGATGCCACTGTGTAGCATGCAACGCCGACAGGCGCTCCAAGGGATGCGAGAACCCCCACGCATGCACTGAGCAGGTGGCGCGTACGCTATCCCGCCTCATACCCAAGTGGGACCCAAGAAAAGGAGAAGGGGATGCGGGCGCTAACTCCCAAGAGTCGCAAGACGATAATGTCTTCCGTCCCCCTCCACCGATCACCCTCGTAGCAGAGGGCTTTAGAGTCCTGACACATCCCCCACGATATGCACAACGTGTAGTTCAGCCTCGACCCCAACAGCGAGACCCAACATCCACAATAACAAGAGTCGTCTTCATAGGAAGTGCAACAAGGCGCGATGGAGAGGGGAAACTGCGTGCCGGGGGAGGTATATGGTATGGCCCCGAAAACCCAGGAAACATGTCACTCCAACTGCTAGATAACGAGCCCCAGACATCCAGGAGAGCTGAAATAGCCGCCACACTAATAGTTGTACAACAAACCGCGCGGGACCAACCGCTAGCGGTGTATGGCTCTCGAAGTATAGTCGGCCCGGAAATGACCCAGAAACTTGAGACACGAGAAGACCAGGGTTGGTTTGGGACCCCGGACCGAGACCTCCTCCAGGTATTGGCTGCAGAACTGAGAGCCCGGACCGTGCAGACGAAACTCTGCAACGTTGATACCGCCCAACAGCTTGGGAACCAAGGACGGAGGGAAGCCCTCGCCCTTGCGCGAGAAGGCTGTCTGAGAGGCGAACAGACCCTGATCAACCTCCACATAGACCCTGGAAAGCAACTGCGAGGAGCTAAACTGTCGTCTCTAACGCAAGCGGTGGCCTACGCCAGCATCAAGGAGAAGCGAGAACCGGTGATTCGGAGGGCGACGGAAAACAACATCAAACAAATCATGGATGCCGCAAAAGAAATATTCTCTGTTTGCCCTACGCC